TACATACTGCTGCACCAATAGTCACTAATGGGACACAACAAGAATAATTTCTAGTTTCTAAATAATCAGCCAAGTCAAGTAGAGCCTCTGGAGTATTGACATGAGCATAAACAACAATATCAATGTTGCTAATAACAATAATTAGTTAGTTAATTAGTCAATTAATTAATTAATTATTTATTTATTTATTAAGGCAAAATATTTTACCTAGTTGGAAGGTAACAACCATATCTGTAACTTCCAAATACAAAAACTTCAGAACCAACAAATTTCTCCTTTATCGCATTTTCAATCCTTTTGATGCTAAATATTCTTAATGATCTTTCTACTTCAGTTGGAGAAAGGTAATCTATTAAATCATTTAATTCATATTTCATTCTAATAAGATATTCATATAATTAATTGGATAAATTTGATTGTTTTTTTTTTCCTTTCATGGCATTCTTTTTTTTAAATGTTAAGTATTTTATTAATATATATTATTACCTATGCACCACAGATTTATAATTTTGATTAACTCTACTCTTAATCCATGGAGTTTCTCCTGGTCTTGCCTTTCTCCAGCTATCTGTTTTAAGGTAAGTTAATACTTCGTTGCTATTGTTGTTGACAGTGTTGATGTTTTTGTTGTTGATATTGACATTGTTATTAGTGATATTACTATTATTGAGCCTGATACTGTTATTAGCAACAGCATTAGTATTATTGGTATGGAAATTGACATTGTTATTGACAGTATTAATATTATTGGCATTGTAGTTGAGATCGTTATGGGTAGTATTAAAATTGTTATGAACAACATTATTATCAAGTACAGTAATGTCATTATAATCTCGATCTGTTTTTTTACGTAGTGGAATTCCCGTAGGGAACTTAACAAACTTTATTTTATTTGCATTAGACTTGGTCATTTCAATCTTTTTTAATTAATGTTGAAGGTCATGCAGTAAGGGAAAATCCTAATATATTTTTCTTTTTCAATTTTGATTATAAAACTACGAAAAAATAATATAATTAATATTTTATAAAATCTTGCTCAATAACAACAACAAATTCTCTTCTCTATTTCTTTTTCAGCACGAAGAAACTCGTAAATTTGTTGTTGTTGCTGAGCAAAGAATTGTTGAAATTGTTGTTGTTGTTGTTGTTGTCATTCTTTTGGAAGAGGATGAATTGTTGTTATTTTGTTTTATTTTTCATTGTTGTTGTTATCGTCATTGATCAAAGCTGTATATTGATTGAACATTCAGTCAGGTCTGTTGTTGTTGGATCAGTCTCAACCCCGGATATTAAAGAATCTGTGTCCATGTAAATTGAATTTTAAAAAATCAATAGTTACTTTAGCACCATATTATTATTTCATTACAATTAAAGATGCTTCAGAATTTGATACTTGAAAACTTTTTTTTTTTCATAATATTAACATATATATTTGGTAATTAATTTTATTTTCCCTTCTTAAATGTGTATATATTAATATACGTAATGTTGTTGTTCGTATTATATGAGGCATACTGCAACAAAACGAACATTAGATTACGCAAAGATTTAATATTATCACAATTGTAATAGTAATAAGAATAATTTTTGAAAACAGCACCCAATTATCAAAATCACAAAACCAAGCTATTTGTTATGTAACAGATTATTCATCTGATTTTGCATAATTTAAATATATCAATTTATTCCTTTGCTCCAAACAAAATTCAGAAGGAGCTTATTGAAACTGCATCATTGTCAAGAACACTTGCATGAACCCTAATCTTTCCTCAAATACATTACCTTAGTCCATGCAAAGTCATTTATTTGGTATTCAAGATGAAGCAGTAAGGAAACAAATTAATTATGTTCTTGATGAAGATGAAATTATAGGCAAAGGTCCTAATGGAACTCTTAATATGAACTTTGGTGGAATTAAGAAATTGAATAAGGGTGAAAAGCATTTAAAGATAATGCTGGAGGCAAAATAAAAACAGTGTAACAATCTGGGTCTATTTATATTTAGTATTTGATGGTTATTATGAAAGTGTTGAATTGAATTTCATGATTCCTGGTCATACCAAATTCAAATGTGATGGTAGTTTTGGATTGATTAAAAAACTTTATAGGAAAACAAGAGTAGATTGTCTGGGTCATGTGGTTAATGTAGTAAAAAGATCCAATCCAGCAGGATTGAATAAAACCCAGTGTTATGAAGGTGGAAAAGGTTTTCAATACTTGGATACCAAATCAATTTTGGGAATTTATTTTAAAAAATTAAATGGTCTGCAAAATATCAACACTTTCTTTTTGAAGTGTCTAATCCTGGTGTGGTCAAAATTCAGGAAATTGCCAATGAATCTTTTGCTGAATTCAATTTATTGAAAACTAGAAAAGCAGATGTTTTTAAAGAAATTAATTGCCAGAGCATTTTATAAATTTTGGGGCGATCATCATATAAAAACTTCTAAATGTGCAAGAATTGTCATGAAAAGTTAGCACATACACAAATAAAATAAAATCTAGTTTTTTAAAAAGACAAAAAAATTTCATAATCAAATAAGATTTCAGAATACTTTGTTATATATAGAAGGTGAGATTTGATAGACTAAAACATAATAAAATTTCAAAAATTTTTTTTTATAATTTCAAATTAATTGCAGGCCAGGCTATATTTGTGAATCAGATATTACAGGAGATGTAGCAGAAAAGTGAAATTCAAAAAAAAGAAGTATTATTATTTCCATTAACAGCATGAATCATAAATTTTGTCTCTTGTTTTTCTCCTTCGGGCATTTTTCAATTATTGAAATTCATTAGTTTACAGTGAATAGGTCACAATGAAGTATTGGAACAAGTTACCAACAGCAATAAGTTGAGGTTTATGTTTTGTGAAGACATCATAAGTTAATTGTGAGGAAATTGAGATTTATGAAATTATCTAATTTTATATGTTTTATTAACCCAGCAATTTACTCTTCTTTGAATTACAAAAGACAGAAATACCTTTATAATAACATTTTAAAGGTATTACTTGTCCAATACTAACATAAACCTTTCATGAATATATTAAAATAATATATTATGGTAGTAGTAAAAGGAATTTTAGCACTTGAAAATAATCAAGAATTAATACAATAAAAAAGAGAGTCGAAAAACTAGAAGAAACATTAGTAGAGTTGATTAAGAATATACAGTCAAACCTCGCCACAGCGGATTTATGGTTCCAGAAGAAATACAAATTCCAAATTGGTGATGATCGGCAAAAAATTAACATGCGAAAATTAAATTATTTGTTATTATTATAATATTTAGTTGTATTAGTTTTTCCATTTTTCTTTTCAATATTTAAATGCTTTAAACTATAATACAATTGACTTTATCGTGAATCTTTGGAAAAATGATATTGTTTTTGTTTTATTGTTTTGGATATCAATTATTGGAAAATTTTGTGTTACTTGCACACATTTGGATAAATAATCTATCAATTTGTTGGTTTATTTTAGTAACTTGGAAAATTTCGTACTCGCAAAAATTTGGACAAATAATCTATCAATTGTTTGTTTACTGATTTATTTTAAAAGGTTGTTACTCGCAAACTATCAATTGTTTGTTTATTGATTTATTGATTTATTGATTTATTTTAGGAACTTGGGAAAACTATCAATTGTTTGTTTATTTGATTTATTGATTTGTTTTAGAAACTTGGAAAAGGTTGTTATTCGCAAACATTTGGACAAATAACTTATCAATTGTTTGTTTATTGGTTTATTTTAGAAACTTGGAAAAAGCTGTTACTCGCAAACTTTTGGACAAATAATCTATCAATTGTTTGTATTGATTTATTTTAGAAAATTTGTTACTCGTAAAATCTTTGGATAAAATTGTTTGTTTTATTGCTATATTTTTAATACTGACCTTTGATTACTAATTTTGGTAATTTGGATAAATTTATATGTCACGTGAATCCGCTGTGATGAGACTAGTTAGCTATTATATAGAAAGGATCCCAATCAAAAATCCGAATTTATTAACAAACATTTTAATTAAAGGGGCCAATATTTAAATCCGTTGTAACAAGAAATCCGCTGTGACGAGGACTGTAAATGTCCAGTAAAAAAGAATCAAAGAAGATATAATTGATGATTTAATAATTACAAAATTGGGATTAGAAAAAGAAAACTCAGACAGAAACGGAAAAGTATAAATTAGCTAAGAAAAAAGAAAGAATTGAAAAAGATTATAAAAAAATATTGCTGAAGTGGTTTCAAAATATCATGAGCCAACTAATGAAGAAATAGAGACAGATAAGATAATTGAAAAGAAGAATTTATTAAACAATGAAGAGAGAAATAGCACAATAATTAAATTATTGAAATTATTGAAGACTGAAAGCAAAAAACTAAGAGGCAAAATTAGATGCTGAAACTCACCTTGAAGCCTTAAAGTGGACCAAGAATGGAGAGAAAGACAATTAGCTGAGAAATTAGAGCAATTAGAAACAGTCAAGATAAGTTGACAAGCCCAAAAAATTCAGCAACTAAAACAACAACTATATTTAACTAATAAGTCTTTACCAGCATTACCAAGGGAAAAGAATAAACTACAACAGTTTACAAAAAGACAAGTGATAAATAAAATTTATTTAAAAAAGAAACAAGAACAAATAATTGAAATAAAACCTAAGCAAGTCAAATCAATCCATACTAATTCTTTTTTACCAAATCTTTTTTATTTTCTTTAATCTTTAAAAGATAACAAAACATGTTAAATTATGCAGTAAATTATTTCTCTTCAAATTTCTTTTTTTTTTTAAATTCTTCATGGTTTTGTGGTAAAATTCTTTTACTAATTATGGTTTTTCCTTCTTCTTGGTAAATTTCATAAGTAATCCATTCTTTTCTTAGATAGCTTTCAGTGACTAAGTATTATTTATTTTGAAAATATAAGGAGCAATTTTTTCACCTTGTTACTTTTTTAAAATACTTCTGATAGTGCTATAATTCTTGGACCCATGGTGGGTCAGATATAAATTAATTTCATATTATCTATATATCACTTAACAAATGGGATATTATAAAATTGCAAGTGGCTAAATTTTGATCCCTGAAATCCTTGGTAATACCAATGTTCACTTTGTCTGGTTTTGTTGCAGGAATTTCTGCGTCACACATTTTTTTTTAAATGTTTGGTGTCACGACTCTTGATATTGTTCGTACATCTCGTTTTGTATAGAAATTAAAGGCACAGATTCAAAAATGAAAGGATTACAGTAGTTGGAGGACATTATGGCATTCCATTGCTGTCTCAAATCTCACAGAAAAAGAGATAAAAGCTTTAACTCATGGAATACAATTTGATGGCGATGAAGTTGTTAAAGCGAATTTATTTACGTTTATTTTTTAAAAATTTTTTTTTAATAGGAAGTGTATCAGCGACACTTTCAATGGCCCATGTAACAATGTAGCAGCACATTTCACTGATTCATTATTGTGTGAAATAGTAAATGGCGAAAAAGGAATAATTGAATCTGCTGAGCGCAAGGAATTAATTAATTATTTCATGTCAGATGTTGAATTTAAGTTTAGAATGTCTTGGTGAAATTTATCCATTTGGTGAATTAAGTCCCTATTAAAAAGTATTATTGTCAGAAGCTATACCTGAATTAAAGGAAACTATTGATGAAGGTGTTAATGTTGCAAGAAAATTTTTTATAAACCAACTGAAAAAATAAAAAGTTTTTTTTTCCCAGGTGGTATGGATTTTTTAATCAGAGGGATTTTCTGCCGATCTCGAATGAGGCGTTGGGAAATTTGAATTTTGAATTTGAAATCAATCAGCTAATCAAATATGAAGGTGATATATAAATAAAAATTTGGGAATCTCCTTTCGGAAAAATCAGAAATTTATCACTATTTCTCGCCCTGCTTAATAATCCGTTAATATTAATATATTTAATAAATATTTATCAATAATTCTTATTATTATGTCATAATATATATATTGCATTCACTAACATCAATAATAGTTGTATGAGAAAATGAGTTTTTTATCAATTCTGTATCCCTACAAACAGTATATAAAATTCAATTGCGTCATATGTACGAATTTTGTTGACTATTTGCAACTGTATGCATTTTGTTAGCACGTACCCGTTGCGCCCACTGAACTTTATATTATAAAAAAAAATTTTTTATATCGTTTATCTCATTATCATTGTGTAATGCCCAAAAAAAATCCATTTATAAAAAATACTATCGAATTTTGTTTTTGATCCATGAAATCAGGGAAAAAAAAATAGTATAAAAAAATCCTATATTTGAAAACCCCCTTTTTCTTTTTAAAAAATTTTCTTGATAAAAAATTTAATATCATGTGAATAAATAAATTAGCACATACAAAAAAAATAATATCTATTATTCTTTTTTTTCTCTAACAAAAAGAGTTTTTTTTTTGTTTTATTATGAAAATTTTTTAACTTGAAATTTCTCGAATTTTCTTTATAATTGTCAAAAACCCATATTCATTCAGCATCCTCTATCACCATTTTTATATTAATTTAATACACAATATATATCTTTTTATTTTTTTATCGATCATCTTATTATATTATTTTTTTATTTTTGACGATTTTCCCATTTTCCTATACACTATATAAATTATTTTGTTGCCCAAAAAAAAAATTATATATATATATAATCCCCATAATTTTTAAACTTTTCATATAAATAAAACATGTCAAATGCACAGAATTATCCACAAGTTCTCGAATTTTTGAGACAATGTGATCTTTTAGAATATTACGATAGACTTATATCGGAAGGTTTTGATCAGATGCGATCTGTAAGTCTTTGTTTAGTATATTATTATTTTATTTAATTATATTTATTATATTATAATGATAATATCATTGTTATTCACCGATAATTTGAATTTAGTTGTTTGATATAACAGAAATGGATTTAATAGCAATGAATGTGAAAAGGGGTCATCGTAGAGTAAGTAAATAATTAATTTAAATATAAAAGTATGTTTACAGATTTATATTTCATTAATCAAATCAATTAAATAATTTAATAATATAGCGTATACAACGTGAAATAGCCACAATGAAAGGAATACCGACAAGCCAACCATTACACATTCAATCCGAACCAGGATTAGGACCAATCGGTGATTATTCATCATCAACCACTTCAGCGTCGACAAATCTATCAACGTCAATGACAAATCCTGGTAAAAATCTAATTCCTACTATTGCTGCTGCACCTGGTTCTTCTATACCAGTATTAATTGACGGTTCAAATGGAGGCAGAAGTCGTGGTTTTGATTACAATAATAATTACGGTTATAGTTATAATAATAATGTCGGTGGTACGTATATATATATGTTATTGTTATTTTAAAAATATCGGTGGTACAACATGATTATGACGACAAATTTCTTAATTCTTTTTTGGAAATTTTTTAAATTCCTGCATCTATTACGTTTAACCTAAATTTGTATATTGACTATTATGTTCTTTTTGTTTTACAAATTTTTTATGATATTTCTATATTTGGTTCTGATGATGTTACAGAATCATGTGCTCGTCATCAACCACCAAATCTTCTTCCTCCACTTAATCATATTCAACAAAGTTTTTACAACAATAATAATGAGTCATCATTTCAACGACAAATCGCCCTAACATTATCTAAACCTTCTACAATGACCATTAATCAACCCTCCAGAAACATTGCTGCTACTGCTGGTGATACTACTGCTAAATTTAATAGTAATAATGATCAATCTTCTTCTTCATATCCATTACCCAACAAAACCAATCTTAATCTCACCCTCAAGAATCCCAACGATCCCAATAATAACGAAGATGCAAATAATAATAATGGTAAAAGAAAATATAAACGACATCCAAAAAGAGACAAGAATGCTCCGGTAAAACCATTATCAGCCTATGTGATGTTTTCTCATAAAGTTCGTGAGGAGTATCAGGGTAAAAATATCTCTTTCCCTGATATGGCTAAAATAGTTGGTGATCGATGGAAATCTATTCCAGCGGAAGAGAAAGAAATGATAGAGAATGAGGCAGCCAAAGCAAAAGAAGAATATTTGGCTGCTATGACCGTCTATAAAACAACAGATAAGTGGAAACAATATCAAGAGTACCTTAGAGATTTTAAAGAAAAACATGATCCAAATTGTAAATTATCGTCAGGTTTTATTTCATTTATTTTTATATTTGATTCTATATAGATAAAACATAATTAAATTTTTTTAAAATAAAAATTCTCGATTAATTCTTTAGATCGTGAATCAAATAAAGGCAGAAAAAGATCAAAATTCAATGTTAATTCGCCTGATTCAGATCAAACAACTAATTCAGGTTACTCGAGCACAAGGTCTACTTCTCTTGGTTATGTGAGTAGTGGTAGTAGCAATAATGGTAATAGTAATGGTACACATAATGGAAATAATGGAAATGATGGTGGTAGTAACCAGAATAATAGTAATATTCGCAATATTCACAATATTCACAATAATAATGATATTAATAATAGTAATAAAAATTATACCAGTGTTGCTACTACTAATTTCTCTTCATCTTTACCATCATCTTCTAAAAATAATAAAAAAAATAATAATGATAATAATAATGATAATAATAATAATAATAACAATTATATTCCGCCTTACGCACATTCTAATCCAACAATGCCGTTTTATAATCATAGAAATAATAAAACTACTGGATCTTCAACAACAACTACATCAACTTTTGCTAATATTTCTTCCAATTCCAATGCTTCAACTTCCATTTCTACAAACAATTCTTCCACCAGCTTATCACCAAATATCAATAATACTTCTTTATCAGGTTTATTGATACATCCTAAAGATTGTGATAAAAAGAAAAGCGATGATAATAACAATAGTAATTGTGATGGTGATAATAGTGATAATAACGATAGTAATAGTAAAAGTAATAGTAATAGTAACAGTGATAATGGTAATGATAATGATAATCAAATATTTGAAGATTTTACGATTTCTAATAATTTTGGTAGTTCTTCAACCAACACAACTTCTTCACCAATTAATGAATCTTTTGATAGCGGCAATAATAATCAAAATTCTCTTATTGATCAAGAAGAAGAAGAACAACAACAACAACAGCAGCCTTCTTCTTCTTCTTCTTGTTCCATTTCCCCTTCTTCTTCCTTCTCCTCCTCTTTCTCCTCCTCTTCTCAATAAAATATTGCCTTCTTTCCTTTCCTTTAACAATAACTACTCAAGTTTTTTTTTTAAGAAATATTTATTTTATTTATTTATTTTTATTTATTGTTTTTCCGATTTTTTTATTACACCCATTATATAGTAAATTTTTCTCTTGATATTTTTAGAGCGAGAAAAAAGTTTTAGGAACAAACATGGGGGGTTTTTGAGCTTCTAATAATAATAATAATAATAATAATAATAATAGTTAATATTTCAATCAATTCAAAAAAAAAGAATCACATAATGTGAACAGAAAATTAGAAAATATTTAGATAAAGAACGAACGACTGAACGAACCTATTGAACAAATAATCACAACAAAATCAAAATAATAATCATTAAATCTAAATTCCAAAGTTTTAAATTATAATTTTCTTTATTTGGGCATGCTATGCTTGTGGTCTTGACTAATATTTTTTATTTTATTTTTCATTCCATAAAGAAAAAAAAAATTTTTTCAAAGGAAAAAAACCCCCTTTATATTCGTTTTTCCTTGTAGCAATAACTATTTAAATTTCCCTGAACTAATTTGCTGCCTCCATCGTCAACATCTTTCTAGAAATAATTTTGTTGACTATAAAATCTTTATTATCGTAATATAAAAAATTTTTTTTTATTAACAAATTTCTGTGCCAAGTCTTGTAAAATAAAATTGCAGCGAGTTTTTCGCTCTACGTGTTGATCAACCTTATTTAACATAACGCGACAAAAAAACGATTGGAAAATAATATCGATTTTGAATTCTTCGTAATGCTGTTAATCTCGTTCAACAATTGTATAATGCTCTTTTACAGCTTCAAAGAAATTTGCTATATTGTTTGGGGGCAAACCCAAAACTGTTTATCGAGCAACATTCTTATCAGAAGAATATATACTTTTTCCCTACTAGATAAATTTTTTTTGTGTGCGCAATAGAAAAACTCAAAGGTTATTCTTTGGAGGATGTAAATATTAGATCATTTACTAAGGCGCACAGTCGATCAAGATCTTAATGTTATATTAAATTCGAATCGCGTATATCTCATTATTTTTATATTTAAGACAAACTTCGCTATTAAAGCAAAGTAAAAACTGCACCATTAAAGCTTCCTAATGAATATTTTTTATATCAAAAGGAACTCTCTACGTAAAGCTATGGCTATTCAAAAATGGCATTACATTTTTATTTTAAAGAAAAGATTTTAAGCTTTCATATGGATGGAGTGTATTTTATTGAAGCTTAGAGAAAATGGCAAAAGACCTGAAAAAAAACATGATTAATAAATGCATAAAAATTCAGGGAATCAAAAATTTAACCATGTAACATAATTGAAATAATCGAGGCAATTATAATGAATCCAATTCCAACACGTATAAAAGAGAAAGAGGAAGAAAAAATGAGCGTGTTTACATAATTTCTTGGGTATATACTATTCATTAGTAAAGAGATTATTTTCGCCATGCATTTGCATCCTATGATGGTAAGGGTAACAATGGAATGGCTTATTGGAACGAGCCTGTTTTGTGACAGAGAATTATCAATAATGACATTGGACTATTTAAATAAATTGACAAGGTCCAAATATTCAAACTAAAAATAATAAAAATGGCTATAGTCATATCGGAATTAATTCCTAATTATTAATTTAACACAATTCTTTATTGTGATACCATAAAAAAAAATCTTATCGACAAGAATAATGGGTTCTTCAAAAAAAAACAAAAAAACAATTGCATGCAATTTGCCTTTAATAGAAATCCCAACGACAGGTTTTAAAGTTCTTCCAATAGAAGTTAGTTACCATAGTAATTTAAATGATAAAGATTCTTTGATAAGTGCAAATCATTATTGTTATTTCAAACAACATGAATCACACACTAACAACAACAAAAATGATGATAATTTGCCTGCGGATAAAACATTATTTATAACAAATTTACCTGTCGATGCAACAGAATTGCATATAAAGGAGTTATTTAAAGAGTGTGGTATAATAAAAAAAGTACGCATTCATAAGACGGCTGGATCTCCTGCTCATATAATATTTCAAAGCTCTGATGGTCTTTCAAAAGCATTAAATATGGTTCAAAAGAGAAGAATATGGAGTGCTATAGATGAAAAAGTAAAAGAAAAAGGAGAAAAACATGTTCCTAAACTAGGATTATCTAGTAATAAATAATAAATAAATTTCTCTAGTTATTATTTATTACTTAACATACTAATGAATAATTTATTTGTGTAGAATGGATTCAAGAATATTATTCACTTTATACAGATCCAAAAGATCTTCAAGCTAAAATTGATGATTTTATGTTAAATTTCGAAAAAACAGAACAAAAAAAACGTAAAGAACTCGAGGAAAGATTAAATAAGCCAGATGAAGATGGATTTATCACGGTGACAAGGGTAGGAAAACGCAGTGTTAACACAGATGGTAAAATTAGTGTGACAGCAATTAAACCTGAAGATGTTAAAAATCTAAAACCAAAGAATAAAGAATTAGATGATTTTTATAGATTTCAATTACGTGAGACTAAAAGAAATAGTAAGCATAAAATTTAGATTCCTAATAATATATATTGAAGTGATTGTTAATTATATTTTTTTTAATTTTGATAGAATTGGTGGAGCTTAGAAAGAAATTTGAAGAAGATAAACAGAAAATTGCAAAACTTAAAGAATCAAGAGGATTTAAACCCTATTAATAAAATTACACTTATAATAAATAATATTATGAATGAATCATTAAATGATGCTTTGAAATTAACGTAATGATTTTTATATATGAAGGTTTATTGTCGATGATTTTTTTTAAAACAAATATTAATATTAATAACAATGATAACATACACCTAATTTTGATGTGGTCACGTGCTGCTATCAAATAATACCTCGGATGATATTTCTTTCTTAATTATCTTATTTGGTTTACAAACTCACAAATTTATTTTCTTTGTTCGTTATTATTCCATTTGACCGATTTGGACTTTCGAAGAAAAAAGTTTTTTATTCTTCTCATCGACAATCTAATAAAAAAAATCCTTTCGCACACTCATTCCTCTTTATTTTTTCCTCCTTTTAAAAGATACAAATTATCTATTATATATAGAATGATCATGCTATATTTGCTTTATTTTTATTTTTAATACGGGGCAAATTATTTTTAACGAAATTATCAGAAACAAGTACATTTTTTAAAAGAATGGACAACTTTGGGAGTATTGGAATTTTTTTATTGGTCGATGCCCAATTTAAAGTACTCGTTGGAAAGACATATTGTATTATTAACAGAATCCAAAGCTGTCAAACCAATTTAACATAGTTGAAAGATTGCTTGGACAGATATCCAAACGTTTCGATAGCAAATGTTTTGTAAATTTTAAAACTGACAAAATCCGATTCAGGATATTTCAGTTGAAGACTTTGTGGTTCAAGGTTACATCGCATATCTGAATCCAGATTTTGTAAAGAAGTTAAACTTGTTGAAAAGGACGCGATAGTTAAAATATAATATGTTGTTCCATTACCAAACCTATATCATATGGATAAACTCGATTACCGATAGATCATAAATATAGTCTTCCTAATTCGCTTAAATGCTTCATGGTATTGGTTTTTTGCCTCACCACAGAGCTGTGATACTTCTGGTTGCGATAATCAAGGTGTACTCATGTCGTCGCGGATCGCGCTAAAAAATTCAAACGTTTATACAACTGTTAAAGTACTTGGTTAGGCTCAAACTCGCAGGGTTAAAACACGTTCTTGATTTACGTAATAAAAGTAAAACAAGAATACCGTGGCCAATACGCCATTGGTCCAATACTGTTAACCTTGCAGTTAAATCATTAATCGATGCCGGTATACATGTATTAGTGACTTCTGGTAATGAATCAGACAAATGGCACTTGTGATGATTCAGCAATTTCGGCCGTGACGGCAGATAGAATCGCAGAATTTCTAACTTTAAAAACTGTATAGCCATTTTTGCTTCATAACATGACATTTTATCTGCTGCTGCTCATGCTGAAATTACTTTATCAGGAACTTTGTAAGTAATTCCACACACTACTAACTGTATTATATTGATTATTTCAAAAGAAGGTAATAAAATTCTGCAAAAATGAGTGTAAGACTCGTTCAATTTGGTTCAAATAATATACTTGTAAAGCAAGCAATGCCTTAATGGCAGTCCAAACTTACTTGTAAAGTTCATATGCCATAAATATTGATTTTAGAATAGATCTATTGTAATAGTGATATTTTAATAAAAATACGGGACAATGGACGTTAGAGAATGCAAGAACTTTACTAATAAAGGGGATTCAATGAGATCTATTTATGTCCACACAAAAATCTTTATTCGTTAATTTAATACATGATTTAATATCAATATTTGTTGGAAATCATATTTAACTAATTACATACATACATAATACAAAACAATTGTATATATCTATAACAATCGTAATGATTATAATGATTATAATTAATGACCTCCTCCTCCCCCTCCTTCGCTAGGATCTTGTAGAATTGAATCAGTTACATTTTTAGGTGGTAAATTTCTACTGAAAGGATCACAATAGTATGATCTATCTGGTTCAATAGTACTTGGAAAATAAAAGAAAGCAATCGCTATGAGAAAATAAGAAACCTAAAAAATACAATCATCATAATCACAAATATAATTAATATTAAATAGATAAGAAATATATATAATAAATAAATAATTTATACTTAACAATTAACATGTAACCCTCTAGCCAATTTGCTTTATTATCAGCAACCAAATAGTTTACGATTAAAACAGCACAACTTAGAACAGCAATTTCTAAAGCATTAAAATCCAATGTTAATGGTTTATCTAAAATCCAACCCACAAGAACTAATATTGGTGCTACCAATAAAGCCATTTGCTAAGAAAAATTTGAAAATTTGTTTTTTATATAATTAGTAAAAACAATAAAAAATAAATAAATAAAATCTTCTTGAATGATTGTATACTAACTACAGATGTATTAAGTATTAAACTTATAGCTGTGTCAACTTTATCATGTACAGCATCATGTATTGCTTGATAATGTTCCATAAAATTAGAAACAACTAGAAAAAAGAATAATTATTAATATCTTTATAATATATAACAATGATAATGATAATAATGATAATAATGATAATCACCGCAAAGTGGAAATAATACAATTCCAACAAATCCAGTTCCTAATTCAAAATTTTGTGCAGTGTGTTCAATACTAGTTACAAGAAACCTAGCACAAACTGTAATGCCAGCAATTGATACAGCAACTCTAAAATATTTATGGCATATTTTAACTTGTGAATCAATAAATATTTTTATAATTTTAAAAACAACGATATGAAAATTTTACTCACAAAATCAAATCAAAAAACCAATTATATTTTACTTCTGTATCAAATTCTTTAGCATCTATTACCTAAATATAAATATAATTGTTAATACTAATATCATTTGATATTATATTATAATAAATTATAAAATTTACCTCTTGTGCATGAGTTTTAAGTTGAAATACTAATAAACCAATATAAATTAAAGTTAGGATGATGGCAGTAGCGTGACTTATATTTCTTATATTACATTCTATGAATGGTGAAACGGAAGCATTATTTGGTGCTGCTGCTATTTTAAAAGCTGCAGGTGTAACTAAAGCAAGGACTGCGAGTGCTAATATAGAAGCACTTGTATTCACAAATAATTTGACTTGAATTGACACGTTCAACGAATTCATTGAGCCTTCACGACGACGTCTTTCAGTCGGCCAAGATCCTGCAATGAATGCAATTCCAAGAACCTAAATAACATTAGTAATAATAATATAATAAATGTAATCGATTAATAATATCATTTATGATTAATTAATTACTATTATTATAATTATTTAATACCAATGTTATATTACAAAGAATTGATCCTAAAACTGCTGAACGAACTATTGCATATTGCTCATCCATTAAAGCATATGATTCAATCACAAGTTCAACAAAACTTCCTGAAAATGCATGAAATACTGCTCCATAAGCCTAATTATAATTAATTAAATAATAGATATTTAAAGAACTTAAGTAAACTTTAAAGAATCATGATCAGCTTCCTTCTTCTTTCTGCGCACACTTTTCGTTTTGTTTTAATTTAATATAAATCAAATCCTACCGGTCCAAATCTAGCAGCTAAATCACCAACTCCAATAGTTAATATATTTGATAAAGGTATAATTGCCAAAAAATTAAAGAAAAATGTTATAGTTTCATCAACGTTTAACGCTTTCAAGACCACTGCTGGTATGAAAAATATTAATAATGCATTTGTTTTGTTAAGTTTTAAGATTGATACTGTATGAAACATCCAATTTGATTCTCTCTGTTTAATATTATCAGATCGTTCTTGTAATTCTAAATCTAAATCTTCGTTATTATTTTTACTATTTTGGCGTCTGTTGTTATCATCATCATCATCATCATCATCATCAATCCTTCCTCTTCTTGTAAATGTTGAAGCTGTAAAGTCACCATCATCGTCTACTGTTGATTGTAACGATTTCGAACGATCAAATGACATTTCTTTTTATTTATTTACGAATTGAACTTTAAATTTTAAAATTTACAAAATATTTATATAAACTCCAAAAAAAAAACACATTAAAATTATTAAAAAATTTTTCCAACCAAAAATGAATTACTGAATGAAGGTAAAGAAAGGGAAAAAACAGAATTAAGAATAAATAATGGTGAAAATGAAGGAGAATGTTTTAGATACCGTAAAGTCTGGAAAGATAGCATTCCCTTTTTACATATGTGTAACATTTTTTTTATATTGATGCTCAATTGTTTTAAAGTAGGGGGTGCTATCTTTCGGGAGGTGCTATCTTTCCAGACTTTACGGTAAATATAAAATCATCTGATGAATTTCGTGAGCCATTCAATTCTCCGTTCCCCATATGTAGAACCCTATTGACGATCCCGTTTATAAATCAATCATTTGGGGCTTTTCAATTGCGCTATAAACATAGTAATATTGTTTCAAGTAAAAATTTTTTCAAAGAAATCTATTTTTAGAATATGATTGAAAAAATTTCACCATATCCCAATAGTATATACTAATACTGCATATTAGACTTGCTGTCCGAAGCTAGCTAGACTTCAAAATGAAATTAGCCAGTTAAAAAGGAATAAATTTTATTTTTTTGAAAATATATTATATATACTATTTTGAAATTGTTTTAATAACCTTTTTTGAAGAAAAGTTTGGCGTGTGTGCGTTTTATAATAAACTTTAAAATATGCTGTAAAACGTTATTGGTGAATAAACTCATCCATAAAATATTTCATCTTCATTGGGCGAACATATCTAGAAATGATCGGCGACTATTGTCCCAATAAGAATAAACGTTTTAAAATATTCCTTTCAAAAGAAAGTTGGCCAGATCCTGTGTTCTGATGCAATGGAAAACTCATGGTGGTGGTAGGGCTCTGAATTTATGGAAATTGCATGAGATTTTTAACAGGCCTCCTGTAATACACACAATTGATTTAAAATGGATAAATTCTCTACTTTTATTAAAAAATTTGAAGACTCCATCAACAAAGTAGAGGCTGGCACCGCGCAAAAATTCTTTAACTGGTTAATCTAATCACGTGAAATTTTTTAACTGGCAAAACGAATTATTCGAATAATATAATTGATAAAAAATTATAGTCATAGTATGGTTTCTATTCTAATAAATATAAAACGAATAAAACGAATAAACGAATGCAACGAATAAAACGAATAAATGAATAAGACAAATAATAACAATAATAAAACAAATAAACGAATTGGACGAATAACTAATAAACAAATAATTCGAATAAACGAATAAATTCGGGTTAAGATTGAGTCGTATTAATATTACGAATAATTCGAATTACGAATAGAAACTCTAGTCATAAATCCCACCCACTCAAGCCCATACAAAAGAAAAAAGTAAATATTGATACGCAGCATTACCATATTTATTTCGTCATTATAAATTTGTTAATATATAGATTATGTTTTATTTGTATTTACTTTAAATCTGATATGTATTCTAAAATAAAAAATATGTAATACCAAGATTGATGATTAACCAGTTAAATTAACCAGTTAATTTTAACCGGTTAACGGTGACAACCTCTACTATTGTCATATACATATTTTTTTAAAGCCTTTGACTATCTACTAAAAGTATCGGACACCTAAACGTACATAATAATTACATACCAGTCTGTAGCTTAGGTCCTGGAGATTATTAAATTTAATGTTTCTAAAATCTCTAGAACTTTATGGATTAAAAATTCAATTATTTTTTAAAAAAAGCTTTTAGCTCTAAAGCCTACATAATAATGTTTCGAACCTTTTGATGTGATAATCTAGGATCTTCTGACTCTCTGATATAATTTCTATTTGGCAACTTTTTTTTTAGAAACTGCAACCGCTTAACACACTGTAAATATATGGTGAATTTTAATATAATTCACAGGGAGTGTCTATGTCCTGTTATTACTATATTCCTATATACTTGGGAATTCTCCTTTCAAGTTAACCTCGCTATAGCAATGCCCTATTCAATCAATACCACGCTATAATCCATAAATAAAGAAATAGGGAAAGAAAGTATTACACTGAATTAGGCTGAAGACCAATTCTTTACTTCAGCACTGACTAGGAAAGTGGGTTTTATTTCTAAAGATATTTTTATTATATGTATATTATTATTCTTAGGCCGAGAAAGACATATAATTATAAAGCTATTTAATGTTTGGAAATTACTCATCAAGCCCTCTGATTTCCAACGAGTAATTATAAGCAATGCCTTCGTATTATTCTAATATTCTTTAAATAAAGGTAAAGTTATCATTAGAAGAATTGTTATTCTGGCAAGGAACTGATAACATTATTTTAATTTGGAAATCGAGAATTACATAATCAAAAATTTAAAATCTAGTTTTATCCTGATATTTTTGTTTTCCAAATATTTGGTTTAATGAATTAACATTTAAACTATTAATCCGGTTTTGATTCGTGTTATTCTCTGTGTCGATCATTCTCGATTTTATCACGCGTACATTTTTTAGAATTTAATTTTAATAAAAAATTGTCATTAGAAATATTTATTTAAATTACTTCATTTATGTTTATTTAATAACAAGGAAATAAACAATGCAAAAAAATTCCGATGATCTTGACCAGAGATGCGAAGAGCTTGCATGGAAACATATTAGTGCTAATACATATTTGAAAATCATTTTTTAATTTTTTAAATACATGCAAAAAAAAAATAATCGTTCTAAATGTCTAATAAAAGTTTTTCACCCTTTGAAAATATCAATATGTTTTTTAACAACCTTATCAAATCTAACGAAAATCCTTTGCCATTAAAACACATTTGCAAACTTGTAAATGATTTCACAAATTTGTTGAATGAATCTGATTATTACGATGTGGAAATTAAAGTTGGGGAGGGTGATGATATTGAGACTTTTAAAGCTCATTCTAACATTTTGAAAGCAAGGTCATCGTATTTTAAAGCTGCTTTGTCAAGTAATTGGGCAAAAATATCTGGAAATGGAATTATTTTATTTGAAAAAACAAATATTACTCCGAGAACATTTGAAGTTCTTTTAACGTAAGGATTATTTTATTAATTCATTTAATATAAATTATTAAATTTTAAATTTTTTTTTTATTTAATTTATTTAAAAAATTTTTTTTAAAAGATATCTATATAGTGGGATTGTTAATATAAATGATATTGATGAAGATGAAATTCTTGAACTTCTTGAATCCTGTGATGAATTAAACCTTAATGAATTGATTGAAGATATACAAAATTATTTAATTACAGAAAAAAAAGAATGGATTCAGCAAAATTTAATTTATATTCATGGACTTTCATCAAAACACCAGCCATTTGGTTTACTTCAAAGTTATTGTAATGAATTAATTAATGAAAATCCAGAATTATTTCTAAAGTCCAATGATATTGCAGCCATTGAAAAATCAATGCTTATAACTATATTGGGTAGTGATTTGTTAAGATTAGATGAAATTGAAATTTGGAATTATGTTATTCAATGGGGAGTTGGACAAAGTGAGGCATTGGAAAAAAATCTTTCAGACTGGAATAAAAATGATTTTAAACAATTAAAAAATACATTAGAGGATGATATAATTCCATTAATAAGGTTTGATCAAATATCTTTGGATGATTTTTATAAAAAAATTGAACCATTTAGAAAAATTTTTAATAAAGAAGTTTATAAGGAAATTTTTGGGTATCACCTTAATAATGAATTGCAGCCAAGACTATTATTTCAAAAAGGTCCAAGGATAGGAAAAGGAAGGGGAAGATTACTAAATTCAGAAATAACATCTCTAATTTCTAATTGGATTGGTAATTTATCCAATGAAAAAAACATGCCTCATAATTTTGAATTAATCCTTTGTGGATCTCATGATGGATTTTCAAGGTCAACTTTTGAGGAGAAATGTCACAGCATTGAAACTGTTGTTATCATGAAATTTAAAGAGACAGGGGAGTTAGTTGGAGGGTATAACCCAGTTTGTTGGAGTTTAAAAGAAAAGTCATCTGATAAAAATTATTGGATTCGAACTGATAAAAGCTTTATTTTCAAAATAGATGTGAATCAATTAAATGATTCAATATTAAGTAAAGTTAAAATACCTGATCTAGCAATATTTCATAGTAAAAAAATTATTGACCTTACTGAAGATGACATAAAGTTTCATGAAAGATTAATAGATTTTAATGATTTAGACATTCGCAACAGTATTGATAATAAACCTTATTGTTTTTATAAGCATCTTAAATATTATGAAAATAATCTGAATGTTATAAATTCCAATAAAAAAATTCATTTGTTAGAAGAGTTTGAAGTGTATAAATTAGCATAAAATTAGGATAATTTATGTATTTTATATAAATAGGTTTCATTCATGTTTCATATGCTTGTATATTAATATAATAATAAAAGTTTTACATCTTTAGAAAGTATCAATATATTTTTAATAATTAACAAAGATATTTTCCTATTAAACATTGTAAACTTTTTTGAATGAATCTGATTATTGAAAAGATTTGGAGTAGAAGTTGTTGATGTGATTGGAGCTACATTCACCAATGAAGATTATCGAATTCATTTTCTTGATGATAATGATAAAAGAATTGCCAGATCAGCTGCAAAGTGAGAAAGATTCAATCTTTAAAGAAAAAAATGTCATATATAAATAATATTAATATACTTGATATCAATTCTTTTCTATTAGAATCCCAAAATGAGTTACTTGTTTTTATAGACCGTCTTGTATTGTTGTACTACATTTTTAACATTTTTAATATCCCTTTGAGTGGAAAGATTGGTGTTATAATTCTCAACAAACTGTTTTTTTCCAATAACGTAGTCATCGTTTATTGTTTATTGTTTATTTTTCATTTATCCTAGTTATAAAAGTCAAAAATATTTATATTTTTTATTTTGTAATCACGACTCTGAATTTAATTAAAGCCATTGCTATTCAAGCAATTCTTATTATTTGGAGAGAAATGAAGATCCTAATTTTTATTTGTATGTTGTCTTTTTATTTTGAAAGGCCGTATCTTTAAAGCTATTTTGTTATCATTATATGATTAACTTTGTTTATGTTATCTTAATAACTAATTTTTCCTCTTACACCGTCCCGTGTTATTAACATTTTGTGTAATTCAAACAACATGCAAGCCTTTTAAATTTCTGGACGAGGGCCATGCCCATGTATTATTATTATTTTATGCTATTACATATTTCCTAAAAATGACAATTAAAAAATAGGAAATTTTTTGAATATCATCCAAAGAAAATTCAGACGTAGCATTGATAGTATTAGTATTTATGCTATTACTTGTTGAATCTATAAGAATCAAAGATCTTGTTGGTTTTATAGCATGAGTTAAAGTATTCATAGTAGCAAGATTTTGGGTTTTGTTTACTTCTTTATATGCATGAATACCTTGAATGTTTTTATGACCTGTTATTCACATGATAGCATCTTAAAGAATCTGAGTAACAGTTTTGCGGCCAGAATGGTTTGTTAAGGAAGCTTTAACAGATTTTTCAATGTCTTTCATAAAGTTCGCTACTCTATTAATGCCACTATATGTTTTTTATACCAAATATCAGTTTCATGCCAATGTGTAAATAAAGATTTTTAGGAACACCAATAGGACGTTTTGAAAGATATTTGTTGATATGATATTTTGAATCTGGTGTAGTGTTGTTTGACGAAATGTTACCAAAGTTGTAAAACTATCACGTCAAATTCGCTGCCATTAAGTCAAAAGTGACGTGAGTAAAGTTGCTTTAAAGGCTAATAAAATATAAAAGCTCACAAAAAAAACTTGTAATATATATTACAAGGTCTTTTTTTTTAATATTTACTTGTGTACCGCAATCTCTCTCTCCTTTGTCTCATTAGTTGTTCCCAAGGAGCTAAAATTTTCTTTTGCTGAATACAAATCCAGTTCCCACACACTCATTTATATCGTGATACATGACCTAGTTACTTTATTTTCTAGGGTCGACTAATTTTAGTATAATCATAGTCAATTATTATCAAATGAAAATTTTACGCAAAAGCTTTTTATTATCAAATTACTGTGTAAATAATTACTTGTAGTGATCAACGAAAATTTCATTAAGGATAACTTTAGGTCTAAATAATAGGTAATTAACATTCTAATAAAATAAAACTCTGTGATGGAATTATTATTTTCATTAAATAAAAATTAATCGTTAATGAATTTTCAATAATAAAAGCATTGTCTTTATTTTCTTTGTTTAAAGTGTTCTGATAAAGGGCAACAAGTATAGTTAGTGCCTTGGTGAAAGGTAACAATTGCAGGGATTTGATAAAAGCCACATTCATTTGCTTTAATGAATCGGTAAGCAAGGTTGGGACTAACTTTGGTTAACTAGTGAGTGTTAACAACAATTAGTAACATAATTGTTAATTGACCGAAATGACACCTCGCAATATCACCATTTAACAAGAATCAAAAAACCGTAAAAAATTTATTATTTCAAAATATTATTATAATTTAGCTTTGAGAATCAAAATAAGGATAATAATAAATTTATAGTGGAAATTAAATTAGTCATTGATCAATTCTTTCTTTTACTATTGATATGATGGTAATTTCCAATTGATTAATAATGAAATTTTTATTCACCTTTTTGACATTCTAGAGAAAAGAGTTAAAATCAAGATTATTCAACGAACTATCATTGCTTGTATAAATTTTTAAGCTTTTAGATTTAGCAATATCTTCATCTAATATTCTACTTGTATGGTATGCATCTGGATGTGATTTGTATACTTGTTGCGAAGCACCACTACCACTACTAGTAGTATTATTACCATTATCATCATTATTATTTTTAATAATTTCATTATGTTTATTTATAGCAAAATCATAAAGCTCTCTACTAGTTGGTCTTTTTAATGGATCCACACCCCAACACCTCTGCATCATTTGCACATAATCATCAGGCATTCCAGGTAGTATTGGTGGCCGCAAACCTTCTTCACATATATCAAAAATCAAACAATGATTGTGAGCTCTATCATCAAATGGTGGATGGCCTGCAAATATTTCCCACATTAACATCCCAACACTATAGATA